CCAGGAAGAGCGCAATGATGGTGCCAACTTGGGCCAGTGAAGCAACATCCTCCACAACTAGACTGAAGAACAAAAGGACAGCAATTTGTCTGTTCCCCTCCCCCAATTCCCCAATAAAATCTTTAAAAAAAAAATAGACTTTACGCCTACTATACTCTTTACATCATATGCTGGTTCTCTCCCGCCTCCCATTTACCTTTTCCAGTCTGACTGGTCTATGATCCTGAAAGGAACAGTGGAAGGATTTTAGACAAGAAAACGAATATAGTATATTTCCAATTAGACACTAGCTGATAGGTGGTGGGTTAGAAGCCACCTTTTAATTCCTAAAGAGCTACTTATTCCAGTGGCTGCCTAAATGTTTTCAAGTGTCTGTGACAGATGCTACCCATAATTACCATGTGCTCCTGATGTTTACGAGCTGGTGTATCTCTGGGTAAATGGCTCCTTAATCCTTTTCATCAGCAAGACATTGTTCTGCACCCCATGAACAATACAATTCCAATAGAATTCACGCTCTGCCACCCCGTTTCTTAAAAAGCTATTTTGAAACTTCTAAATTGTTACCACGAGATTTTCCACATATTTTTGCCCCAGGACCTGTTAAGACCCATTTGTCCACGTGCCCTGGCCAACCTCCAAGGTGGAGGCTTTCACCAGCCACTCCACACCCCCACCCCGCATTCCACCAGATTTGGGGCCATTTCTGAACTCTTGCCAAAAATACAGGCGAGAAAGAAAGGCCAGCTACACAAGAACTCTATATGATGTTCGAATAGCTGTGCCACCCTGGTACAACATCAGTTAAAAGCCTTAGACGAGAAAGGATCCAGCCTCTGCGTACCTGAGCTTTTGGTGGAATCTGTATCGAGGCTGGCCACAGTGCTGGATCGAGACAGCCCCCCAAGGCTGGAGTCTACAGACTGAGAAACAAGAAACATAATTAGCAGCACTGTCTTCTCGCAAGTTCTCTACCAAACATTCAAATGACTTATAGATGAATCTACACATTTAATCCCAACCGCTCTTCCCATAACAGTACTGGATGAATGTGGTGCCAGCACCCTCAGTCTGAATCAAAGGCAGTACCTCTGTCTCCTCACAGGATACCTGATACTTATATTGTATGTGAAAATCTACACCTTGCTTTCACATGATCTCCACAGAGCCCTGTGCAGAAAGCAAGCAGGGAGTATTACGCTGTTCAGTAAATGAACAGAGAGACCCAGAGACGTGCAGTGATTTTCCCAAGGTTACATCTAGTGAATACCCCAGATCTCTAAGCCAGGTCTCCCAATTCCCACCCCAGTGCTTCTGTAATTATGCCAACCAGTACCTGCAGTAGTAAATACACAGACTGACTGGCTGACCAGAGTATAACTATTGATGTGAATTGCAAAAAAAAATAATAAATCCAACAAAACTGATAAGCAAAATACAAAGCCTCATACATGTTAGTGTAGAATTACAGCTATGCACACACACCACAAACCCAAGAATTCAAGTGATTCAGCCCCTTAACTGCATGCAATTTCTACCAGGTAAAATTTTGCAAAATCAGTGTTTGTTTCAATGAGCCCATTCATAGATAGGTCCTGTCCCATCTAGGTTAGCGGATTTAAGAATTTCAGAACATCTACTAAAACAAAGTAAAACAATCTAGCACAGACTGTGTGTCTAGTGCAAGAAATGAATGTTAAAATACACCTAGTTTGAAGAATGTCAGCAGGCCTGCCATGGTTAGTATCCTTTAAGCAGTATCAGAAGAAACACAATTCTCACTGCTTTATGATTCTCTTCCCACTTCCATCCCCCTACCTTGCTCTTAGTACTGATTTCACTACTTTGGGAACTGCTACTACTGTGTCGTTTTTTGCCTTTCCGAAACATTTTTCACCATAGCTTGGTCCACAGGATCTCCCTAGAAAAACAGATGGTGTTCAGTTATACTCAGAAAAGCAACTTTAAATCACTTTATGCATAATAGGAATAAAAATCATCAATTCCTTCCAGTTCCCTGGTGTATCCCTCTTGCTTAAAACAAATATTTTCCTTTGACCACAAAATTTGGATACTATTCTTTTTAAATTATAAAAATCTAGCCCAAAGAACCAAAGGGCAGAAACCTTGTCATATCTAGAGGTGTAAAAAGCATTGTCCTCAGAATTAGCAGACACGTCATCTAGTTCTTCAGATCTTCAAGCGCCTTACTTCTCTTTAACCTATTCAAGTTACTGTCTCAGGTTCACAGTCTGAAAATGGTAGGGCTTAGAACGGAAGACATACATACCTCTCAGAAATGGGCATTTTTATTGAAGGGCTGACTATCTTTAGGTAAAAGCAGACATCAAAATACTGCTAGGTGCTAGTTCTCACCTCCTCACTCCAGTAAGGCCGCGGAAGGAGGCGACCTCAAGTTTCCCAGCGTCAGTCTATCGAACATACACCTTTTTTAAAGTAATAAATGCCTTGGAAACAAGATTTATCCTTGCCCGTTGACAGGAGCACTTCGTTCATTGCTTCATTTTATCCTCACAGCAACCTGGGGACACATTTGTTTGCTCCAGATGTTTTTTCTAAGAGTCTTACCTGTGCCGAATACTGTGCTGGGCGGGGGTGGGGTGGGGAGGTGGGTG